AGAGACGAGGGGGGGGGGGGGGGTCGTTGTCGTAATGAAACAGGAGATCCACTTGGGAAGGGACAGAGAGCAGAGGACCATCTCGATCGGGAACGTGTCATGTCTCTCCTGGTCCACCCACCCTCAGTCATTACGAGTCACTTCTTTTTCCTTTGATTCACTTCCCTTCCCTTTCTTTATTTATATAATATATATATATATATATATATATATATATATAATTCACTTGGTTCAATTACGTGAACAAAAAACAATAAACGGAAAAAAAAAAAAGTCGCTAGAAGGAGGGGTTGAACCTCCGACCTTGTGGTTAACAGCCACACGCTCTAACCAACTGAGCTATTCCAGCTGTTGTTAGATAAATATAATAAAATCACACAAATCTTCAGTATCTAAACTGAGAACGCGATTTCACCAAACCACTTGGGCATCTCTGCATCTTTTTATTTCGGCCCAAATAAATCATAAAATAAAAATAAAGGGAAAGGAAAATAGAAAAATGAGGGGAGTCTCTCTAATCGCAACGCTCCTAATAGCGAACACGCTAATGGCGACGACGTCTCGTGCCTCTCTCTATCTCCTACGACGCAACTCCTCCCACAACGCCAAGTTTTCTTCTTCTCATTTTCGCCCCACTACTTTCCACAAATCATACCCCTGCCCCCTCTGGTCATCTTCCTTCTCATTTTGTCTCCCCCCTCCTAGATCCACCACCTCCCCCTCCATCGCCGCTTCTCCTCGCTTTTCTCCCTTCTCCTCTTCTTGCTCTCCGTCTGCTTCAATGGCCGCCACTGGTTCTGTTGTCTCCGATGAGAGTCTCTCCTCGAACCCTCTGTTGCAGGATTTCGAGTTTCCTCCCTTTGACTCCGTTGACGCCAAGCACGTCCGTCCCGGCATTCGCGCTCTCCTGCACCAACTCGTACGCGATTCCCTTTTCTTCCCCTTGTTTGGTCTCTGATTTCGTCGTTTTCTCACTTGTTTCTGTCGGACTCCGGTGATTGGTTGGGGGATTTGATCTGTTGTTAGTTCCGGATTCGTCGTCTTCTCTAGGACGTCTTTATGCCGATCGATTAGTAGGTTGTTGGACGAGTTGAATGGTGAATTAGGTTTAGTTTTCCAGATTGATAGATGCCTTTGTTTTTTTGTATATGGTTTGATGGATTTCTTCAGGAGGCTGAATTGGAGCAGCTTGAGAATACCGTGGAGCCTTCATGGCCGAAACTGGTGGAGCCATTGGAGAAGATAATTGATCGGTTAGCTGTCGTTTGGGGAACGATCAATCACCTTAAGGCGGTCAAGGATACTCCCGAGCTTCGTACTGCCATCGAAGATGTTCAGGTTATTAATATACATGTCTTCCAATATTTCATATTTCATCGTCCATTCTTAATGTCGCATCCTCGATAAACATTGCATTCATGGTTTGATTCACATATGCATTTTGGTCTGTGAAGGTTGTATTAATCCAATGTTCTAACTTCTACGTTTACTTGATCATCAAGTGTGTTCATCGATGCAAATATGATGTTAATAGAATCAGAACAAATATGTTTTGTCATGCTTGTCATTCTGAAATTAATAATATTCTCTAGGTTGGATAAAATATGATGCAAAATGCATCGAGTGTGAATGTTTCAGACAAGGAGGCACCATTTACAATTTGTGTTTCATTTGCTCTGTTGTTTTTCTAACTGTACTTTTCTTCTACAGCCAGAGAAGGTGAAGTTTCAGCTCAGACTAGGGCAAAGCAAACCAATTTACAATGCATTTAAAGATATTCGAGAATCCCCAGACTGGCAATCACTGAGTGGAGCTCGTAAACGTATAGTAGAAGGTAAGTAATTCTAATTTTTACCAACACATAAAATCTTCAATATCTTTTTAATGTCTAGTTTTTTGTTAACTATGGTTCCATGTGTTTTCAGCACAAATAAAGGAGGCGGTTCTCAATGGTATTGCTCTTGAAGATGAAAAGAGGGAACAATTCAACAAAATTGAACAGGTCTGTTTTAAGCCGTTGACAGAAAAACATTAGCTTGTTTGATTTATGATTGTGTTATGGATTCTCGAGAATATCCACTACTCAAATCACAAACGCTACATATTTATTTGATTTTACACTTCCCAATTATAGGAACTGGAGAAACTTTCCCATAAGTTTTCTGAGAATGTTTTGGATGCTACAAAGAACTTTGAAAAGTTGATAACAGACAAGAATGAAATCGAGGGATTGCCTCCAACTGCACTTGGGCTGTTCGCACAAGCAGCTGTGTCCAAGGTATAAATGTTATTTCAACACATGCAGAATTCCGGTTCATTTTGTGTCTTTCTCGTGATTTGTGAGTGACGGATAGCTCTTGATATATGACATAAGGGACATGAAAATGCAACCTCTGAAGATGGACCATGGCTCATTACATTGGATGCTCCTAGTTATCTTCCTGTCATGCAACATGCGAAAAACCGCGGTCTGCGTGAGGAAGTCTATCGTGCTTATATTTACCGTGCCTCTACTGGTGATTTGGATAACACATCAATTATTGACCAAATATTGAAGCTTCGACTGGAAAAGGCAAAGCTTCTTGGTTACAACAATTATGCTGAGGTAGGAGCACAGACCTAAGTGAAGCTGATCTTCTTATTTCATGATCTTAATGTGGCTTTGTTTGGTCCAGGTAAGCATGGCCATGAAAATGGCTACTGTAGAGAAAGCAGAGGAGCTACTAGAGAAGCTTCGCAGTGCTTCCTGGGATCCAGCAGTTCAAGGTAATATCTAGAGGAAGATTCCTAGCATCAACTAATAATTTCTGAAACTAGTTTGCTGCTGTTGTAACTTTCTAGAAGAAGTGCAGGACAGTGACCTTAAATTGCTGTTGTCATGGGTCTATCTAGACAGAAGCCTAATTTTTTTTTATCATTTCAGACATGGAAGACCTCAAGAATTTTGCCAAGAACCAAGGTTCTGAAGAAGCTGACAGCTTGACTCACTGGGACATAACTTTCTGGAGTGAAAGGCTCCGAGAATCCAAATACGATATTAATGAGGTTCTCTCCTCGATCTATTTAACCTGTGGTATGGCTTTATTGTTTTGCAACGTTTGATGCTGACATGTATTTTTAGGAAGAACTACGACCATACTTCTCGTTGCCGAAGGTTATGGACGGGCTTTTCAGTCTAGCGAAGACACTATTTGGAATTGATATTGAGCCAGCAGATGGTGTAGCTCCAGTAAGTGATGAACTTAATCTACTACGTCTTGGAATATGTCGACCATGTAATTTATTATCTATTCAAGTCTGTGTTAACATAATACCCTCAATTTGAAGGTCTGGAACAACGATGTTAGGTTCTATCGTGTCAAAGATTCTTCTGGAAATCCCATTGCTTACTTTTACTTTGACCCATACTCCCGCCCATCGGAGAAAAGAGGGGGTGCTTGGATGGACGAGGTTGTTTCTCGTAGCCGAGTCATGGCACAAAAGGGTTCTGCCGTAAGACTGCCTGTTGCGCACATGGTCTGCAATCAAACCCCACCAGTTGGTGACAAGCCAAGCTTGATGACATTCCGTGAGGTAATGGGAATTTTATTTTTTACATGATTTGACAACCAGGTTCTCAAAAGCAAGGTAGGGAATTATAACCAATAGAGTTTGGGGTAGAATATCCAGAAGAGACCTTGTTACACTAACTAACATCTCTAGTTGATGCTTAATATGAGTATGGTGGTTGGTAAACATGAGAAAAACCATGCCCACAAGCCCAATCTGTTATGAAGCGGAACTTTGTTTGGTCTTACACCTGATGGCGTAAAGAGTAGTGCAATAGCCACCAAAATGTATTGTTGGAAAAAATGATTGGGATCAGCAAAAGGTTGACAACTTCGCTTTTTATTCTATTGTCAGCTCAGCTGTCCACACATCTCCCATGTCATGCTGTTCGGGATTTGATTATGTGCTTAACATGAATAGTGGATATTGTCAGTTTTTTTTATGTATGTCCAGTACTCCCGGTTCTTTCACCCTCTCACCATGCTGACATTCTAATTCGTAGGTCGAAACTGTGTTCCATGAATTTGGCCACGCTCTTCAGCACATGCTTACCAAACAGGATGAAGGACTAGTGGCTGGTATCCGGAATATTGAGTGGGATGCTGTTGAATTACCATCACAGTTTATGGAGAACTGGTGCTACCACAGGTATTCAGAGTCTCAGGCTCACTGCCCACAAAACTAGAGTGGTCGCTGGTTCTTTCATACTCATTACGGTTCTGCCTTATTCCCCTGTAATGTGTGTCAGGAAGAGCATGTTCTGGCAGTTTGGTCCCCATGATACCATGGCTTTCTAATTTAGGAGTGCTATTAATATGAATGTTGGTTTTAGGGACACCTTAATGAGCATTGCCAAGCATTATGAAACCGGAGAAGCACTCCCTGATGAGGTATACAAGAAACTCCTGGCAGCAAGGACATACCGTGCAGGATCCCTAAGCCTTCGTCAGGTCAGTATGAAACACCGATCTGACAATTCTAAGTACGATGGTGATTATGTACATTGATGGAGATTTCAGTGGCGTTTCTTGTTCTGCTCCAGTTGAAGTTTGCTAGTGTTGATCTGGAGCTGCACACAAAATACATACCCGGGGGATCGGAGTCTATCTATGATGTTGATCAAAGGGTATCCAGAAGAACACAAGTGATCCTTCCACTTCCTGAAGATAGATTCCTCTGTAGCTTTAGTCACATATTCGGCGGTAAGCGTCCATCCTTATCCCGGGTGGATAGATTTGTTGAAGCTTAATAGTGCTTCCTTCAAATGCATCTTAATATCACCCTTCAAGTTTTTTTTTAAATGTTTCGTCCAGGTGGTTATGCAGCCGGATACTACAGCTACAAGGTATCTGTCTTTCTCTTGGTCAAATATGTTGGCTGTGTGACCATACTACTATTTCATGACTAACAAAGGAGCAATGTGTGTGAAAAAAAATGATGCAGTGGGCGGAGGTACTGTCTGCTGATGCTTTCTCAGCATTTGAAGATGCAGGATTAGAGGACATCAAGGTAATATATCATCGCATTTCTTTTGATGTTCTTTGACATCATCAGTGATCTTATGGTTTTGCGTTTGAAGGCTGTCAAGGAAACTGGACAGAGATTCAGAGACACCATACTCGCGCTCGGGGGAGGGAAGGCCCCTTTGCAGGTAAAAGAAGGGTTTTAGTACGAAAACGAGCATATATCACAAGGGAGGGATAGGATAACAAAATGACTCTTTTGGTTGTTTGTTGTGTGAAAAAAAGGTGTTTGTGGAGTTCAGAGGACGTGAACCTTCACCGGAGGCTCTGCTCAGACACAACGGCCTTTTGGCTGCTTCCGTTTAAAAAGTCATCCCCATATGTGTCACTACTGCTGCTGCTTTGCCTCTTTGTTTGGGAAACAGATAGATGCAAACCATATATTGCTGTTGGATCGATGGGAGGCATAGCAATGCATTTCAGCAAATAAATTAATCGTTTCCTTAACTGTTGTTGTTTCACACTTGCCAAAGGGATTTGGCGATGGAACTCTCTCTCTCTACATCTGATATGCCATTGGCATTGGCCCCGGCCCTGGCATGTCTTACAAAAACCTTTAGAGTAAATCTCTCTTTTATGCCTTACAAAGTGCAATGTAGGAAACTCCGGAGAGGATAGGGAATATGAACAATGTTTGATGTTTCTTCTCTTGAAGCGCATATACATATATATATTTATGTACACATCTCTGCTTCTAACATTGCCATTGCTGGTTTCTCTCCTTTACCCAACACACCCACATTCATAGCACCCCAACGCTCCTTTTGCCGCTCCTCTTCCCAAAACCCAGATTTACCATCACCCCAAAAAAAAAAAAGAATTCCTCTTCTTCTCTCCCCCACCCGCTTCGGCACTCTCACAAAATACACTAACAAAGACTAAAACCCTACTCTGAAAAGAAAATTGAAGGCGAAAAAAAGGAGCTCTTCTGCTCCTTGCTCTATCTACCCATTACATTTTCTCCTACCTTCTTCTGCTACTTACTCCTCCCTAATAGATTTCTTCAATATGAAATATATTTTCAGTCTCTCCCACAAGCCTCTCCTCCTCCGCCCGCATCCCCAAACTCCATTTCTTACTGTTAGATGAGGATCGCAAATACCTCCCCTCACACTTGGACACTGACCCAACTAAGACTTGTCGTCACCTAGCTTCTTTCGACTCCACAAACGGTGACTGCACACTATCTGCATCCGAATCACTACCCGATGAACTTCCTGAATCCGAATCTGCATCATGTGATCAATCAAATTTACAATGTCAACACAGAAAAAGAAACACCTTTGACATAAAAAAAAGACCAGTAGTGTGGGAAGATGGAGGAAAGGGTAAGTAGCTACCACTAGAAGAGGAGCTGCTACTGGAACTGGAGCTGCCTGAAGAAGAAGGGCCACTATTAGCGGCCGTGGCTGTACCATCTTTCTCAATTTCAACCGACGGGTAGTTCTCAATCGGCATATCTTCTCCTATATCCACATCCTCTTCACATGCCTCCCCTCCTTTCTTCCCCTTTTTCTCTGCACCACCCATCTCTGTCACCGAATGCTATGGGAGACACACAACGACAATCATTACTCGCTGAAGTTTCATTATACAGAAAAAGATGGCGAATTTATGGCAACGGAGTCCTGATTTCTCTTACCAGGTTGTTTCTCGGGGGAGTTGATACGTTATTCCGGATAAACCCTTGGCGCTTGATCTTGCTCACCATCTTCTTGTAATTCGTCACGAAACGATCGAGCTCCCATAGTGTCTCATTGTCGATAGCTTCGATATCTAGCTCGATTTCATCACCATCTTGGGCCAAATGGCTGTTCCGCTTCCTAAGTATCTGAACCAACTGACCGAGTTTCTCAGGAGGCAACTCCTGTAGATTCAAACCGAGTTTTGCCTTCTCCTCCATTGTCATCAGCCGCTTGTTTGGATCTTTAGCATTAGGCTTCGGAAGCTTCCCCTTCCTTACCTTTATCACTTCACCCACATCCGGAGGCGGTTCGACCTGCTGCGGAGGAGGAGAAGGAGAATGTGGTGGCTGCAGTTGAGGTGGCGGAGACGGCAAACTCGGGGGCTCCACTACGGGGGCCGGCAATGTAGGTTGTGGCTTCACTGAATCTAGCTTCTTTGCAATCGAAATCTGCTCTGGTCCTTTCCTTACATTCCCAACACTCTGATTCTGATTCCAAGTTCTTTGTTTGAACTCTGGTTCACGGCAAGACGATGATCCTGTAACTCTCAACTGCTGTGCTTCGAATCTCTTGTACGCAGGGATGAACATTCCCTCGAATTGACCCAGAAGCTTCTCAGCCATGAAATACACGTCTTGACCCTTAGGGTTGTAAGCCAACGCATTGTTGAAGGTCAATCTAACATCGGAGGCGAAATCAAGCGGTGATCCGTAGAAACCCTTTTCCAGATTTGACTTGATCGTGCCCAGATCCATGGGTTTCTTCACGATCAGGTAATAGTCGTGAAGCCCTAAACCTGCAACATCGACAGGAGAGTTGAACACCCATGCCCATTTGTGCTTCATCAGCTTCCCCAGGATCTGTCCGCACGTGTCCATCATACAGGCCAACACCTTCTCCGACTCCGGATCCACCACCGCCACAGCCGGCCGCTTCAGGTCGGGCAGCTCGGCTGCAAGCGGATTGCCTCGTTTCTGAGTCGGTCCATTTTTCTTCTTCTTCTTCTTGGGTCCAACGTCATTCGTCTCACCTGCAGAACTCTGCGCCGGGGCCGACCGGACGGCGGAGACCTCCGGTGTAGTGTAAACGGGTCGGGTCTCGAACGCACCAGACTCGATCCGTTCCCTCAGGATCCGAACCTGCTCGAGCTCCGATATCAGGCGCTTCTTCAGCTCCCGGAGCTGACTCGCGGTGTAGCCCGCGAGATCAAACGTAGCATAGCCACCATAAGACAAGGAATCGTCAGACTGGTTGGCAGAATTGTTGCGATTAGCCGGGTTCGAATTAGGGTTAGGGTTGGAATTACGGTTGAAGGGAGGATTATGGTTGTTATCGGCGAGTGATTGGTTTGTGTATTTCCTCATAAAACCGGCACCACATTGTCCCTGCAACGGAGGTTCGTTTAGAGCAGCCAAGACAGCCGGCGCCATTCAAGAGGCGGAGGGCTCAAGCTCATCTCGGGTTTGTGTCGTGGATCGTAGCCGGTCACAGGGTTGAATCTTTTATCAGCAACCGGACTCAAAAGCGCCGGGAAATCATCTCCCCGACAAATTTTATCCGGCGATCGGAAAAAGAGAGAAATGGCCGGGAAGGCGAAGAAGGAAGAGAGAGAAGGAAGAGTTTCGGATGACCTTTCCGACCAGGACGAGGGACAAGAGAGGGAGGCACACCTCTTCTTAAAGGCGATCGGGATCTGCCCGATAAACACTTTGTTAGATATCCAACCGTTGATTCGAGATCTGACGGTCCAGATCTATTCATGGATCTGCCCGATCCAGCTGCCCCAGAAATCTGACACGGATGGCTCAGATCGCGTCACTATCCACGTGTCGCATATTCAGCCGTTGGTCCGTGGAGGGTGTCATCTGTGCCTTCTTTCCGGTTTTTTCCTTGTGAAGGTGGGAATTTTAAAATTTTTCATGGGGGTTTTAAATGATTTTCGTTCTCTTTTCATGGTTTTTGGTTTGGGAATCAAGGGCAAATAAGTAATTTCAACGCAACAGGACCCACTCTGAATTTTCTTGTCCATTTTAACATTAAATTTAATTTAATTTTTTTTTGCTTCCTCTCTTGCTGATTGGTCGCTTTTTAATTGCCAGGTCAACGATTCATATTTACCCTTTTGGTCGGTCGCCACGTACGGAAGCGAGGATGAATGCACCACTCTCAGATCCTTTTATTGTATATTCTCTAACAATGGTTAGATTAATTTTTACACACCGGAAAGCAGTTTAATTTCCCTTTAATTATTACAAATATAAGACATGCCGTAAAAAATTAAAAAAAAAAATAACATCGAACACTTCACAAAACAAAACAAAAATCCAATTTCCAGAAACGTTATAGTAAATTTAAATTTTGCCTTCAACAAAAAAAAAATTGCTGACATGAGAATCCAATGCTGGAGGGAGAAGCCGGTGGGTTTGACGGAGACGTCGACGGCGAGGAAAGAGAATGAAGGGGATGATGATGTGGGAATTAGGGCAACGTCATTTTGAAATGACGAGAACACCCTGTCGATTTGTAGAAAATTACGGCAGGTGCCACTTGGGTTAACTAATGAATCAACCTTTGGGCCCAATGGGCAACCCAACCAAGATAGACTTCATCAGGTAATGATTACGAAAACCCAAATTAAAATAAATAAAAAATATCCGAATACTTTGTTAGATAAATTTTATAACTCAGTCAAAATATTTGTGGAATTCTAAAGCAAAACTTAGATTTCACATCCCCCGAAAATAGAAAAGTATATTGCATATAAGAAATCAATCAATAAATAAATAGATATAGTTTTTTTTTTTTGTAAAAAAAGAAGAAGAAGAAGAAGAAAAGAAATTACGAGGGGAAGCCAAAAAAAAAAAAAGACAGGCTGTTGCGTAAGGTGGTGGAGCAGCACCTCCTCCCAACTCCACTGCTCATTACCTCTATTCCTCTTTTCCAAACATATATATATATATATATATATAATATTATATAAACTAATGAAATTCTCCCTGTAAAATATAGATTTACACACATATATATATATAAATATAATATAAGAAAAATTCATGATCTGAAGAAAAATAAGTGGCTACTTTTTCAGATAGATCTTCAAACACTTGAGAACAGATGAAGAACACTACCTCGCCCCCAGAGAGAAGAATGAAATGGGAGAGAGAGAGAGAGTAAAATTGAGTGCAAGACGGATATAGATAATGAATGAGCATTTGAGGGGAAGTTGGTGAAATCTGGACCGTTGGATCAATATCTTTTTTTAATCTTTTTCTTTTCTTTCTTTCTTCTTGGACCCCATCAGTACCTTGACGAATAGTTTTTTTATATATATAAAAAAAAAGAGGACAATTAGGAATCACATACACACGCCTCTTGATTTGACTTTCTATAATATGGACTGACCCTAAATCCTTCTAACAACGACTTAACGTTAACCGGATTCTCATTCCGAATTTGGTCTAACAATTTATTTCTCATCGATATTTTCTCTGTGTATTCCACATATTTTTGCTATTAGTATTAGTCTCGTCGGCCATATCCATCTGGCTTTCGAGACGCCACGTAGGACAAGTATGCACACATATATATATATATATACACGAAAAAAGATTCAATTATAAACGGGTCGCTGGAGATAATGTCTTGAGCGGACCGAAAGGGTAGCGTCGACGCCAACAAAAATAAAGTGGGTCCCGTGACAGCTCAGCACCATCTGCCAATCTCCCCGACTAACACGCGCTTCATTAAGCGCGTGGTTTCACTCCCTGCAAGAGGAAAAATACGACCGACTGTAAAAGTAAAAAATAATAAAACGAAAGTATTCAAACATGATAAATTTCGTGGCAAATAATGTTTGACATTAGCAGGAACATTCCAACAAACAAAACGAACAATTCTTCACAGTACAAATCAACACAGGAAAATCTCTCCTTTTCTTCTGACAAGAACTCGAATAAGAGAGTCTAGATTCCTTAAAGGCTCACGTCAAGAGAAACAGCAAGTTCTTCTGCATCACCCTTTTCCCGACAGAGTTCGCAAATGGCTGAGATGCTTGCAGGGTTCGATCAGAAACACTGTTTCAGTCACTCGGACAATGAACACGATCGAACCCAATCTGCTGTTTCCGCCGAACAACCGGGAAAATCAGAGACATTCTCAAGAACGTCGCTACCGTCCATTTCTCCGGTGTTTGTCACAGCAACGCTGTCCTGAAAACTCAGTGACTCGTCTGAGTTGTAGTTTCTTATGTGTTGGAGAAGATTTCTGCCGAGAAGGCTGCTCTAACAATCCTGATAAGCTCAGCATGCTTAGTGCTGATTATTGATCTTGTTTGGTGTAGCTCAAACCATGTACAAACGAGCAGACATGTGAGGTCCAGCTATAGAACCGTTATGTTCTTCCGGGATATCCTCGAGAAGGGTCAGCTCAGATGTGCATATTGGTCATTGGCACCTCAGATGAATGTGATTCAGGACACCAACGTTACTGCAAATCTTCCACATGTTTCTATAAAGCCTGCATAGCACACATGTGCCCTCGGATGATGTTTAATCTACAGAGGAAAGAAAGAATGGTGTTGTATCTAATTTCAACCGATCGCAAGAGCATAGGACTTCTCATGATGATGATGGTACAATGGCTGTAATGATGGTTGCATTATTGGACTAACCTCGATTGTGATCACTGAATTATCATTTCAGCAAGTGCTTGTCCACCGGTTTCACCAGGATAATCAATCCAGAGAATGCTCGTGATTCTTGGGCCGGTTTTGGCAAATGAAACATCAATTGGGTCCCCACCGGTTATTACTAGGATCACTGGCTTTCTGCTAACAGCTTCTGTTTACCAGGCAAAGCAAGACTACCTCGATCAAGATCCAATAACGAAGTCTGCAATGGCCACAGCTTCAGCAAATCCAGTAGCAGAATCACAAGACACAGCGGGGCAACTATTACAGTATGCGGTTTAGCGTTATAAATACCATTGTATACTTCATTTCATATTAATCCAAGAGAATCTTTTTCCAAATTCTCTCTTCCATTGTTTTAATTCTCTCTAAATTCAATGGCAACCAGCTGCACAAGACGTTTTCCTTGCAAAAACTAGGAGCCCCTGGAACATGGTCTTCAGGTCACATGACTTTCCTACAAAAATAAAAAAGCACAGACCGTCTCAGCAGATACGATTTAGCATGTCTGACAGTCTACTTCTACTGTTTGCTTGGGAGGGTCAAAATTCAATACCGGTAAAGCCGCTGGCCAATATTCTCTGTCTTATTTTCCATTGGACCAATGATTCCTAAAGAGGAAACATCATTTTTATAGAAAGGCAACAGGTTCATTTCATTCTTCAGAAGCAGAATGCCCTCTTCAGCTGCTTTCGGTGCCAGCTTCTTGTGAACTGGGTCACAGATGTCATTCGATCCGAGTTTTGTGAATTGCCCTTTTCTTGGATCGCCATCAAAAAGCCCAAGCCGAAGTTGGACAGAGAAAAGATGCAGAAGAGCCTCATTAACATGTTCTCCCCTCACATTCCCTGGCTCAAGAGCAGAATGCGTGTCCCGAAGCACGTAAGTTCCGCAATTGATATCCACTGCAAAGGATTTTCAGTTTCATTTGGATGTGATTGAGGCAACGAGTTGAGAAGTGAAAGACCTTAGAATGGTTGCCACAGAGTTGCAATCTGATGCAATATACATGTATGAATGCAATCAAAGATCTCGGAATAAAAAAGTAGGCAACAAGAAGATGAGACGCCATAAAAGCTTAAGCTCAAACAACATCTTGTAAAAACCAAATTATTCCAATTGACAAGCAAACACCTTCAAATTGAAAGAAATAGAGCTACTGGCCCAAATGCTGTCCTCAATCTATCGATGTTAAGACAGTATACTACCATTTCAAGCTGGAAAGAAGGCATCTTATCTTCTTCATGCTAAAACCAACTAGAAGCTTTTTACAGATAAATTGAACTAGAAGCATTCGTATCAACAGAACTCTAGCGGCATCATAGAGTGGAGGATTTGTCACGAAAAAGGTAGATTAGTGTTTACATATAGACCACAACTTGACACGAGAAAAGGGCACAAATGAAGGAATCTTAAGCTCAAATCGAATTCGTTATTCAATCGAATTGAGGGTTAGGCTCCTAATTCAACAAGTACAAGGAAGTGGGAAAGGAAAACAGAGGTCTTACCACACCATCGAAGTTGTATCCAGCAAAATTCCCCCATTTCTCCAGGACATATGCAGTGAAATGCTTGCAACTAGCAGACAACATGAGTATTTCATCATCGTCATGACCATCAGTCGTCGTCGTATCTTCTTCTCGGTACCTTCGTCTTGCTTCCCTTCCTGAAACCCTCTGACGAACTCAACCCCATATTCCGACACCACAAACGGATCCTCTCCAAGAATATCATGGAGGCGTCGGGGCCGTTGTGAGCAATGTCATCGAGGGATTCCAACCACCACTCGTACGGAGGGAATCCGAGAGGGGGGACAGCGAAAGCAGAGGCGGAGAGCTGTCCAAGCTTGTCAGGAGAGTCATGAGAGAGATGAGAGAAAGTGATCGATCTCTTATGGAGTGAGAGGCGTTAGGAAGGGGCAATGTTGAAATCGGGAGGTTTGAATGGAAAATCCGGATCTAATTCGAGATGTTTTGAAGGTTTTACCTATGGCGGGTGAAAGGAAAACGATGTAAAAGAGGATTGCGAAGACTGTTCTCCTGTGGCGAATCATTGGATTCTGTTTGGCCACCGAGAAAACCTCTGCAGAGAGAGAGAGAGAGAGAGAGAGAGAGAGAGAGAGAGAGAGAGAGAGAGAGATGATTTAACCGGACCCGGTTAAGATAAGCGAAAATCAACCAATCCGTTGCAATAAAATCAATGGTCTGACCGGTCGGTACAATGGTACAGTAGCCTGAAACGTTGCACGATGGTTGGGCTTGGGCTCTATTTGTATTGCTGGCTGTCTTTAAGCCCATTATGCTTTAGTGTGCAATGCAACCCTAATGATTCTCTACTTGAAAAAAAATAGCCCCTGTCATATTTTGAGAATATAATTATATATTTGGAAAAGTTCGAAATTTATGGTAATAGGAATTACTTAATTCATTTTTCTCAGTTCTCATTATTATCTTTTTTGGTAACTATTCGGAGTGAAATCTATCCAATTAATAAATAAATTGTTTTTGTATGTTTATATGCCGAATAAAACTATACATTATTAATTGTTATATTGCAACTCCGTGTCAATAAAAATATATGAAAGAAAAAATTGATAAAAAATAAATATAATAGCATAAAATCAGAATTTTCTCAGCCACGAATTTGTAAAACACAGATCTGTCGTCCGGAGCGAAGCATACTAATTATTACAATCATCAAGACAGCGAAAAAAAAACAGAAGTCGTTCTGTTCGAGCATTTGTCACATAATCAAGGTTTATAGAAGGAGAATATCAAAGAACACAATGATAATTAATCATAATTACCCACCAAAAACAAAATTTAAATTACACGGGCAATAAATCTCAACCATTTATATATTTGCTAGCTGGCCTTAACCAATTAAGAAAAGCATTAGTTAACGAATTATGAAGATTAAAAATGAAATAAATCATTGGATGATTTTGTAAAAACAATAGTTTGACTTGTGATTAGCGTACAAACTTTGTGGTAAAAAAAGAGAAGAAAAGATCCAAAAAGAGACATAATTAACTGAATCTGATTGTGTTTTCATATATAATAAAGCTCGATTTGTAATTAGGTGTCATAATTAAGGCTGGGACTTTTATGCTACGGCATGATCGATTCTATTGGAAATTAAGAACAATCGTATGGAAATTGATTTTCGATTTCTTAAAAGGCGAGCCTTCATATGTAAACAAACAGAAAGATCCAAACTTTGATAGTTGAACCGGTGAAATAGTGATGCAAAATGTATGTTCCACTCTGAGTTCGAATTTCAAGTTTGGAAAAAGAATGTATAATTCAAAACATATGGCTGATTTCTGACTCCGAAATTAGTTTAGATTTTGGTATATGATATTCGCTTATCTAAAAAAAAAAGTAAACAAAAAGCTAAAGCTTTCTTGAAGAATATCATTAAAACATTCCATCAAATTATAACACAATTTATTGTGTTATATGTATATATAACATTCCAAAAATATATATATATAATAACCCTTCAATTCTATAGAAAACATATCATTCGTGTACACACACGCAACCAAAGACGCCATTCATCACATATCGAGAGCAATCGACGAAGGATATTTTTTATTTATTTTTTTATAACAAATACGAATTGATCAAGAAAATTGGCGATTAATACTAGTTGAATGAATCATAGAATTTTTTAAAATTATCGTTCACTCGTTACATTCGTCACCAAACCCAAACCCTAAAAGTTCACATTTCAAACATATATATATATATATATATATATATATATGTGTGTGTGTGTGTGACTCTCATATAATCGGCGTGCGTACGATCTTTATATATAGGCTATATGCACACGTACGAGCACGTGCTACCAACAATTTTGTGCATCCATTAGTATGTATATGTATTGTACGTTAAACGTAGAAGGTGAATGACGTTGTTGCGTGCTAGCTTTGCATGCAGTGCATTGACGCTGATATCTTGAAAAATTAAAATCTTAACAATAATAATAATAATAATAATAATAATAATAATAATAATAATAATAATAATAATAATAATAATAATAATAATAATAATAATAATAATAATAATAATAATATGTTTGCTCGTAATAATCGTTCACTCGTTACATTCGTCACCAAACCCAAACCCTAAAAGTTCACATTTCAAACATATATATATATATATATATATATATATATGTGTGTGTGTGTGTGACTCTCATATAATCGGCGTGCGTACGATCTTTATATATAGGCTATATGCACACGTACGAGCACGTGCTACCAACAATTTTGTGCATCCATTAGTATGTATATGTATTGTACGTTAAACGTAGAAGGTGAATGACGTTGTTGCGTGCTAGCTTTGCATGCAGTGCATTGACGCTGATATCTTGAAAAATTAAAATCTTAACAATAATAATAATAATAATAATAATAATAATAATAATAATAATAATAATAATAATAATAATAATAATAATAATAATAATAATAATAATAATAATAATAATAATAATAATAATAATATGTTTGCTCGACGAAGAAAAGTTAAATGAAATTTCGGTGCGATGCACTTGATATCCTTAAAAATTATTGTAACCAACACACACACAAATATAGCTTTTTATATGGTTCACCTATATGATATTACGTTCTAATATATGGATTTAGACACATATAAAATTTAACCTTGGGGGTCCAAATGGGGCCCGAAAGAAAGAAAATTGGAGGAATATAAATATTAAGAAGAAACAAGGAACAGACAAAGTTAATGAAAAGCGGTTTTGATGAGAGAATGTGTATATCCTATGGGCTGTCTACCGGTTTCATGCAATGCAAACAAAATTTACTTACGTACCAAAATTATTTATTTTTCCTAAAAAAAATAAAAATAATTATGATATAGATTGTACAAAATATACTATGCCGACAACCCAAACCGAATTTTCCCTTTTATAGATATTAACAATTTCTTCGTAACATGGCTGGTGTGGTGCCCTTTGCACTCTTCTCCACAGTTTGGTGATATTATGTTTTTCAATTGTCGTAAAATTTTATCTGTTTTTTTTTTTTAATAATATCATACATTACCAAGTCTAATTGCAATTTTAACATTATTTCGTGCCGATCCACGATATTCGAATCGTATAAAATTATAAATTATTAAATTCAGAATGATCTAGTTTCTGTACTGTTCGCATGTTTTTCGCAACTTGAGGTTTGATATTATCAAGTTGGATTCCCCACATGATTGGTGATTACCAAAAAACTTAAATTATTTTTTTTATAACAAATGATACAATATTATCTCTATATTCGAATCATATTATTTAAACGAATGATACATTATATAAATATAATTACTACTAGCTACATATTGTTGTTAATGAAAATAAATAATTATTATTTTGGTCGAAATTCTATTCAAAAAACTTTTTATATATATCCACTACCATAATGATGATAATTAAAACGAGACATCGAATAAATTACAGCAGAGAATCAATTATGAGCTGTCATAATCTTCCTTTTTTTATATATCAAAACAAGACAGATAATTCCTTAATCATTTAAATAATGTCTGGTTACAATTAATTTAAACCCAGTGTATATGCCTTTTGCGAAGACCGCATTGGATTACGATTTGATCTGTCAAGTCAAAGTAACTGTTCCCCAAACAGAAAAAATAAATATAAAATACCTTTCTAAATCACTCATTTTATAAGTTGATTAACTCTTAAATTAGCCTAATAAAATACAATTAAATGTACAATTTCGGGTTAAGCTAAAGCTCGGAGACGGGGGTTGGTTTGTTGGAAAACATTTGGCGCATATGGAAAAAGATGCGTGGTCGCTCGTTTGTCACATGGACACGTGGAAGCTTTGGAATGCGCCACGTGTAACGATATTGAGAATATTCACGTGGTCTTCTCCTGCTCTCTTTGTCCTTTTTACGTTCACCTTGAGAACCGTGTATTATTTTCGTCACATCAGCTCGATTAATTAATTAATTTATTTAATCTTTATCTCTTTTTTTTTTTTGTCATGCTATTGCGTTTTTTGTGATTAATGGGTTTTAATCGTAAACAAATAAAAATAAAAAACCCCGCCACGAAAACCACACCAAAATTATTCGTACATGGATAATCTCCACTCCATTGCATTTCCATTTGTTTCTATTAGGTTTAGCTTCTAAGTCCTTTGAAAATCGACTTGTCATTTTATGGGGTGCTTTTAGAACGTGTATTATGAATAAACAATACGAAGCAGCCATCACCCATGCGCGTTGTTTTCTGTACTTGGAAATCAAGGAACCTAAATAAGCCGAGAGAGAGATGGAGAGAGAGAGAGAGAGAGCACAGGTTCATAATCCCCCAAATGAAGAAGATGAGCTTCAAAATTTTATGTGCATATTGGGTCAGTCACATGCAACATTTATAAAAAGGTACCATAAGCACAAGAGAGTAATAAGACTTTGTAACAATAAGAAGAGAGAGAGAGAGAGAGAGAGACTTGAGCTTTGGGGAATTAGAGAGACATATGACACTGTATCAATGTGCCCACAGACTCTCACACGCATTTCACAGCTTCAATAACAACAAAATTTACTTTGACAGATCCCTTAAGACCTGTCAGTCCTTCCTCTCTTTACATCTATATCTCTACCTCTACACACACACACATATATATGCACATGCGCGGTGTGTGTATACATATATATGCCCCATGTTGCTTTGTTAAACTTGATTATTGAATATATGTGAAAGTGGGTTTATCCAAACAGCTCTTCCTCATCTTTTCTCTACACTATATATATATCATTCACATACATGGCACGCTTGTATATGTGTGCATGGTTGTGTTCGTATACGTAGCCTATGCCTATGGGACATCTTATATCGCGTGCATAGACAGACATGTATGTATTTTACGATGTGCATGCGCATGCTACCATGATATATCTATACACACACATGTATATATTTGGGGGGGGGGGGGAAAAGACTTTGTTTGTTTGTGTGAATTGGGGTTCTCTGGCCATGTGCTCACTCATTTATTTTATTTACATTTACAGTTTTATTATATGAGAATGGCACTGAAGCTGTAGCAACAAGTTCACATGCATGCTCATGCAAAATAAAATTACGAAATGCCTACATTCTAGGCATATACATACATACATACATACATACATACATACATACATACATACATACATACATATATATGCATCATATTCCTTTTCTTTCTCTATGTTTTGTTTTCACATCTTCCAAATCCGTACTTCCACTTTTTTCTTTATATCTGTGAAGTCCCTTTATTTTCATACCCTAACCAATTATACACTCTACTGAAAAAAAAAACGTACGTATAAATTGCTTAGTGGATTTAGACATTTCCATAGAGGAAGACAATTTAGAAATATATATATATATATATCAAGTGAAAAATATGCAATATATGACATGATAACCTCATTAATCTGCATTTTTAGTCGAATTATGTTACATTTTTTGGATAATCCGATGTCTCGAATCAAAGATCAAACCAAATATATATCATTCATCTTTTTTTTTCCACGAATAGATTAACTATCTCAATTTCGTCATTGGCTGAAAATTGATAGTACAAAGTATAACAATTATAGTTTCCAAAGAGTTGTTATACAATAAATAATGTGGGATTTTTTGGAAGAAAAAACACGAAGGTGTAAATAATATAAACGTCGATGTCAAACGTAGACAAAACGGGGATTATGGCAAATATTTTCCACGGCCTATGCATTAGAACACCTTAATTTATGGGTCCAGTTGAAATTTTCAATTGATTCTGATATCAAGATCCATACAGAATTTACATAATGCACGTTTGTCTTTGGTACGATATATATAATATCTGCAAAATGCAATAACCTTTTTTTTTCTTAATTCTATATTTAGCTAAACCCACCGGTGGGCAGTACAATAAAAAAAAATCAAAATGGAAAAGAGGATGACAAAGCAAGAGGCCAAAAATATCATGTTCATACATTTTCGTTGGGAAATAATTTGTGGGTCAAACCATTTTGGTAGTTGGAGAGGGGAATTAATTACGTAATAATTAATATAATGAAACTTCTAATTCGTCTGAGGGATTATAATTATCTTATATACATATATATTATATATATATATATATATATAGTTCCCTATTGGATTGTCTACATGCATCTAAACGTCATGACCAAAAGATTTTACTTAGGTTTTATATATTCATCATCATAAGTCATGAAATAGCTAACACTGCAAAGCCCGTAATTAATAAATTAACATTAAAAATTAAAGGGAATCTTTTTTACCTATACACACATCTTTGCATATATATATATATATATATAACACTTCATCTTAGAAGTTACAACATATTTCCTGTTTATCAGAAGTCACACTCTCTTCCTCCACATAGAGAAGAAAAAAAAAAGAGAGAGAGAGAATGGAACTAACGCAAATGAGTGTATTGGAAGAGCTTCTTGCTCAGAGAAGAACAGAGAACAGCATTTGGGCAAATACCAGCAACCTCGTCAACAATGGCGGATTCACCACCACCGATCAATTCTTCACGAACTCCTGTAACTTCGATTACTATTGCTTCAACGACGACGACGCTACCATCCATTCCTCTTCCCTCATGGATCTCATCTCTCCGCCTCTCCCGCCGCCGCTGCTGCATCAGCCGCCGCCGTCTCCTCCGCCGCCGCAAGTTTCCGGCTTTGACTACCATCTTCTCGAAGCTTTGCAAGAGATGATGGAGTCGACTTCGTCTTCGCCTCCGTTGATCCTCGCGCAGGCTCATCAAGAAGAGAACAACAACGTCATCAACAACAGCACGACGTATTCGTCGCCATTGATGGAGGAGAGCAGGAGCTTCAGTGTCGGGTACTGCGGAGGAGGAGAGACGAACAAGAAGAACAGCAAGAGCAAGAAGCTCGAGGGACAACCTTCGAAGAATCTAATGGCGGAGAGGCGGAGGAGGAAGAGATTGAACGACCGACTCTCCATGCTCCGATCCATTGTCCCCAAGATCAGCAAGGTAACTTCAAAGATTCTGCGGTTTGATTCAATTTCTCGTTTAATTCCACTCTGTTTCAGTGTTTCATATGTTTGGTCGGAATCAAAGATTCTTTTGCATGGTTATAAAAAACCTGATTTGGGTTTTCATAAGATCCGTTTATTATTGATAAAATAAAATAAAAACTTTATGGGTTTGACGTTACGTGTTTGTTCTCTCTTGTGTGAACCAACCCCATCAGTACTGTTTATTTAAAAAAACAATTTCTTTTTGGGAATCTGCATCTGCATATATATGGTAAGTGATTAGTATATGTACTGAAACTGGGAAATAAAAAGTGGGTATTTTTAATATTAAAAATAATAATATGAAATTGAAAAAAAAAACAGATGGACAGGACATCAATCTTGGGAGATGCCATAGATTACATGAAGGAGCTTTTGGACAAGATAAACAAGTTGCAGGAAGAGGAACAAGAGCTTGGCAGTTCTCATGATGATGATTCCAAGCTCTTCGCTGATCTCAATGCCCTCAATGCAAACGAATCTATGGTCAGAAACTCCCCAAAGGTAAAACAAACAAGTCCTACCCCTCTTTCTTTTGGTATTTTTACATATTAGTCCCTGTATTTATGTTTGTTACAAAAACACCCCTATCCTATGGTTGGATTGATTTTTTTATTTATTTATTTATTTTTTTTTGCAGTTTGAGGTAGAAAGGAGGGAAACAAATACAAGAGTTGATATATGCTGCTCGCCCAAACCAGGGTTGATTCTTTCAACAGTTAATACATTGGAAAATATGGGCTTGGAGATTCAACACTGCGTTATAAGTTGCTTCGGTGATTTCTCAATGCAGGCTTCTTGCTCCGAGGTATATACATATACACATATACATACATATACACCTCTCTCACACGAATGCTGTGTGTGTGTGCGTGTATATATATATATATCATATGTATCGGTTTCAATTGTATCTCTAAGCAACAAGATTCGACTTAATGGGTTGTCCGTGTTCGTGTGTAAGGTTGCCGAGGAGAGGGATTTGATGAGATCGGAGGATGTAAAGCAAGCGTTGTTCAGGAATGCAGGATACGGAGGAAGATGCTTGTAGAAGTTTTTTTTGTTGTTGTTGTCGTCCTCATGAAAACAATAAAATAATAAAAATAAAATTTTCCTTTTTTAAAAAATTTTTGTGAATTCTTAAAAAAATTTGGAGAGAGGATTATATTTTGGCCGTTGTAATAATTATACCCCTAATTGCAATGATTCCAATGAATGTATTGAATGGTGTCTTTATTTTGATAAATCAGAGGGTAATGCAAAAAAAGTTCAGGGGAATAATAGACCCAATAATTGAAAATGGGGTTGTAAATGACAGTGACCGGTTGTCTCTAATCCATTGAGTCACATCGATATCTGTATCTAATCATTACACTTTAAATATTAATCATAAGATTTGACAAATAATAATGTTTAATTACTTCTTTTACTCCCATCAACCTTTAACAGTAAACACATTTTACCGTAGAGAAAAGGACAACAAAATTTTCAAAAGCCCAGATTCGGCCCAATAGATGCCCAAAAATATAAAAATGGCCCAAACACCCGCGCGAGATCTAGGGATAACGGCGACGGCGTCGTTATTGACGGATCCGTGAGTCCGAGACGGTGTAAATGCCAGGCTGCAATGGCGGGATTCTCTGAATGATTCAGAGGTTTTCAAAAGCCCAGGACCGGCCCAATGGATGCCCAAAAATATAAAAATGGCCCAAACACTTGCGCGAGATCTAGAGATAACGGCGACGGCGCCGTGTCGTTTTCGACGGGTCCGTGACGGTGTAAAATAAATGCCAGGCAGGCGATTGGTTGAGGGGGACCCTCTGAATGATTCAGAGGTGTGTGACCACTCGTTCAGATTAGTCAACCAGATGACAGAAAAAGGACTAGAGAATCATTTTTCTGAAAAGCACGTGAATCGATTCGATTTCTTTTTGTTTGAACATATGACAATGAGGGCTGAAAAATGAAATGGACCCATCATAGGATATAAAAATGGTCCAATGGGCTTCGATTACAATCGAACTAATTCTTCATTTATCTTAATAATCCATTCATATAAATCACATGTCACATTGAAAATCAATAAGATGAGAGAAATGGGTAAATCAAAATGTTTCAATTCGTTGAATAATGTTTAATAATGGGCTTGGTAGAATATATCATTTTTCCCTTAATTACATTAAATCATCCTTATATTATATACATGATTCGTACTGGGATCACATCGACTGGTCTGGGTTTTTGTTCTTCGATCGTATAAGATTGTTCATACTTTGAATATACAATTTCGAACAATATTTATTTAAACAAAATATATTAACGTTCGTCTTCGGTTTCTGATTAATAATTCATTACCTTCTTTGCAGAAAATTAATAATTTGTCAAATACTCTAGTTCAAAGCTTCCGATATATAATATATATATATATATATATATATATACATATATATACACACGCTCACGCATACACCAAATATTAAAGCTACATTTTTACGGTGCACTAATTCAGGTTCTTCAGTTATGTATTTTAAAATTTGCATGCGAGTAAATGTTTCTATACACTAAATTAAACTAAATATTTTATTTGGAAGAAAAGGTATGCGAATTGCAATGAAATACAAAACATATTTCCAAAAATAATTTATTTTAAAAAGCACCTAATATATATATATTCCACGATCCCACCCATGTGCTCCTCCGGCCCTCCCTTGTCTTGCTTATCATCCGTACTTTTTACATGACAGACCACTTTTCATTATTATTTTTGTTAAATATATTCCTACGTGGTTATTATTTTAAAATTCAGGAAAAGCGCAAAAAAATTGAAAATGATATAAAATTAGTATTTGTCTCACATTTATTTTTTATTTTTAGAAATTTTATTAAAATATAAAATATAAGAACTATATAGGTATATATTCTTTAGAATTTTTAATTAATACGAAAATCTTTATATTTTTCTGTTGCGTAAACAAAAAAAAAAGGAATATTAGGAGTGTATTTCACCGACAGGACAAATATATTTATATCCACGTGCATGGTGTATCAGCGGTAGTTGCACATGCCTTCAAGTTTTATTTTCACTATAAGACGTCGATGAAGTATTTGGTGCCATTGTCAGGAGTGGGTGGCTCAACCGTTAAGTGGATATGCGCAAAGAGTGCTTCATCCCGGATTCGAATCTTCACCCTGACAAATCACATAATATAAAAAAAAAGTATTTGGTGCCATTGCATAAGTTAACTCCCCAATAACTAAATAAGTTATACGATAAAATAATCGTTTAAATACGACCGTATAAAATATAGTTGTACTTTTACTACAGTAACTACTTATAATAAATAAATCCAATTACATTCAGAATCGACATTTCCATTGCATTCCTGAAAATCCCAATCACAGAGGAACCAACGAGGCAGATACAGATGACGTCATCAAAATGAAGCAGTACAATTTCCTTGTACTGTATGACGCAATTGCCTTAAAAAAAAAGTGCATTATCTTGGAAAGCTTTTACTTTATTTTCTCTTTAAAAAAAATAAAAGGCAGAAGAAAAATTGCGATCTTTAAAAAATCACTTTCTTTTGTAGGGATTTTAAGAAATTAATCACGGAAAAAAGTTGGAATCTATAGAAATCATCAAAACGAGAGAAAATGTTTGGAGCAGAGATATTTAAAATGACGATGTTTTCGAGTTTTCTCCGTAATATTCTTTTGCTCGCATGCATTTTGTTTTAAAGATTTGCATATGAATAATTGTATTTTCTTATATTTATAAAACGGTTATGCAAATGATCTAAATTCATAAATTCTCTAATATTTTCGTTTCTCGTAGTTTACATCTATTTTTAATGCAATTCTTTTGTTTTCTTTTCATTGGCAAGTTTCTTTCATGATTCTCACCACAAACAGACATAAATTTATACAAAAAAAAAAAACATAAAATTTTTATTCATATTACTGGACTTGCATTGCATGCAACCAAAGGGGTGTGTCTGTTCCAAACTGATTCGGGGATTTTAAATTTTAATTAGTTTAATATCATAATAAATAGCCAGTCACATAAAGTGATTTGAGAAATCTAATTCGTAGAATGTACGAATAATTAAATAATAAAAAAAAACGTGAACAGTGAAATTAGGTCATGAAGTTGATTGTTTTAGTTGGAGTGGAAGTACGTGTTGGAGCACTACCCGCCTTGCCGGTGACGTCAAAATTATTTCTGATTGGAAAACTTTGGTACCAAAATTCTAAAGCCTTTCTATTTAGGGGGTCCCAATTCGCATTTATTCTCTCTCTCTCTCTCTCTCTCTCCCTTTTTTTTTAATTTTTATTTTAATTTAATTTCATAATGTATGGGACCCATGAGTTGAGTTCCCTGTATGATGTCGTGTTGTGCCATCGCAATTAACGGGAGCTTTCCAATCGACACATGATAACTACCGTCTAAACATAGTATCCCGTGATAATTACGTTTTAAATTATTTTTAAAAATAAAAAATTCATAGCATTTATGATGCTTCCAACAATTTCCACTTCTGTAATGCTTAAGATTGCAATAATTTGGAGCTGTATAAGTAATATGATTTGATATGAAAGGGGCGGTCTTCCAATTAGGCTAAGAAATGTGGCATCATGTTTTACCTGATATCGGTTAATTAGCCTTTTTGGGTATTATGGCACCAACATAAATAATTGTTTCATGATTTCCAATAAACTATTTTTGGTGCGATTCCTACAAATCTCGAGATGTCCGTAATTAGTTATACTCTATCTTATTAATTTTCGTCTTTTTTTTTTTTAATCAAATCTGAACCCTTTTTCACGTGGCATGCACTGTAAATTACTAGTTACTGCATAAAATTATGTAAAATATTGGACCCTAACTTTATGTACAGCAAAATGGTGAATTTGAAATTTGATATCCTAGTTAAGAAAAAAAAAATCAATACAAGGGAAGCGGAAAACGCGACGGTTTAACCGGAGGCGGCGGCGGCGGCGGATTCTGGATATCGGCTGTGAGCTTTTCGGGCCTCGGCGGCTCGCATGGACACGGCAACGCTATGAACTTTGGTGTATCATCTCCTGGCATCAACACCGGCACGCTCATGCTCTGGTTTTTCTTCTCATCCTGTTAATCACATTCTTAATCCGATTAATTCCTCGATTAATCCTGAATCTACAAAGCAAAAAGCAACTAATCCCGTCGATACTTAGTAAGCAAGTCGCAAGAGATCCAGAATTAAATTTTAAATCAACCCTTGTTTATGTTTACTTGACGTTTATTTACTTAAATTTCAGGAAATCACGCGCAAAGCGCTTATCATTTTCAAAAAAACAACCAGAGGGGCAAAACCGTAATTAATTCAAAATCGAGGTCGATAAATTGGAAAATGGACGATTCCGTTAGAGCATTGCAGGGAGAGAGAGGGAAAGTTACCGAGAAGGGAGGTTTAGGCTTCGACGGAGAGGACTCGATGTCGCCGGCGGATGGATGACCAGCGGCGGCGGCGGACAAGGAGCGGCGGAGGGAACGGTGTTTATCCCAGTGGTAACAGCAGGAGAAGATGCCGGAGAGGCTGAAGATGATGACGAGGAGGAGTGCCGTGCCTAGTGGAAACCCTAGCGATGGCCGAGACGCGTCCACGTGCGGAGGCGAGAAATCCTGTGTGCTCTCCATCTCCGGAGGATGAATAGACGGCTGAGATTATCGACGGCGATGTTGTGGGAGGATCGACGGCTGAGATTGAGGGCCGATCTTCTTCTACCATGTGTATGAGAGAGAGGAGAGGGGTTTAGTGCTGGGGAAGACAGGACGGGGAGGGAGTGTTCATTTATAAAAGAAAATTATGGAATATTTTATAAAAAAAATTATTTTAAAATTACAACTGTAAGAAGTAATCCATTACAAAAAGCAAATATGCTGTCCATAAAGTTGTCTTTTCCCACTGCTTTTTTATTTTTCCGAATATATTTGAAATTGACTTTTTTTTATGCAGAAGAATTAACCCCGGAGGATTATATATTTTTTCACCAGTCGTTAAATACGAGAAAAACATATATTTTTTCGGGTAAATTCGTTAAATAAAAAATTTTAAAAAATTTTGGGGCAAAATAAAAAAGGGCAGGTGAGTGGAAAGGGTACGTGGAAAGGTTGTCCTGTTGCCTGAGGCACCGTACGGAGAACACATTGGCCCACATCTTTAAATCCTCTCAAATCCCTCCTCTAATCATGTTTAGCTGCCTCTAATTGCACTCGTAATGCCCTTGTCAATAATAAGCTCATCATTAGTCTCTCGGAACGTTTTATGACTCCGCTCCAATTGAATATTAAAATAATACACACAACTTTAAACTTAAATAAGTTATCTTTGCTCGCTGAAATCATTGATTCTTTGCCTTTTCCTTCTAAAAATTCACAAAAACGTGCAAGCCTATATAAACACATACATAATTTTTTTTATTTGTATATATATATATATATATATATATGAACACATATATGAATTAGGAGATTAAGTGATGTTTTGAAACATTATATATGGACTCGCTCGTAACTAAAATTTTAAAAAAGGGAACTCAAAATCACGTGCGGATCCATGAAGTACATCAAAAGAATTCAACCTCCGACTAGTGAACCACTGTGTTATCCGGATTTTCTCACTTACTTCGACTGAGATATATATCATTACACATATACACGGCACATATACGTAACTATAATAATAGTAGGGTGGGTGTAAACGCACGTAGGATTTGGACCGACGGGACCATGATGAAAAAGAGGCACGCATCGAAAATGTACTGAGACGTACGAGTTTGGTCTCTTCCCCCATGGTTGGTTTTTGTCTTGTGCTCCACGATCTCGTTGAACTACTTCTCTCTTTTATGTCCCTTTTTTTTAAAAAAATTAAAATCATTAAATTTTTTAAAATTTTATTTTTCTAAATTTAATATGAAATTGAGCACCGTCGACCCCTCACGGCCTCACCGCATCCCCACATCTTTTTTTGTGGCCCCCACCATTTTTTCATCATTTTTCAACTCTTTACATTGGGCTGTGAATAATTATTAGTGGGCACGGGAAATTCATATTCTTTTATTACTATCCTTCGGTAAAATATTCCATCTCCGGTAAATTCACACGTGCGACACACCCGCACCTATTTTTATTCACAAAAACACGTAAAGTAAATCTTTCTAATCAAATTGTTGCGGGACATGCCGTTTGTATTATCTATCTATAATCTGAATTTAACTAATAAAAAAAGAGCTAAAGGGTTAGGCAAATCCGATGCGAGACTAAAAAGAATAAGAAAGACCCCAAACGCCTAAATAAAACAACATATATATATTCTTATATGCATATATATATATATATAGATATACATCAATATGCTCGTTATGATATTTTAACATATTACATCTTCATTCGTAAACATGGAATTGACTTTGGGGGATTATAATTTATAATGATTAAAAAAATCGTAGAGTGAGAGAGAGTTCTAGGTTACGAAATGGGAAATCGGATAAACATGAAACACATTGCGTCAAAGAATGGAACTTTTCGATTTTCGACCTTAGATGTTGGGGGCAACTGTACGTAGAGAACATCTCCCACAGTTAATGCCCGTGGCATGAAAAGCCATGTGCATGCATGCACCCCGCTTCATTAGCTTATTATGATTTTTTCATGATTTTTTTAGTATATCTTATACATTTTACTATATAGATTTAATTTCCATTACGAATTAATATTTTCAATGCTTATCATATGCGACGGACTGTAGTAGTTTTTATTTACAACCATGATGCCAGAGAAGAAAACGTCTCTCATCATAATTAGGGCACATTCGTTGAGGTCAAAATACGAAACTGCACCTTGACAGACAGGGGTTGGGTCTTGGGGCCTTTTGCCCTTTTGAGATCCTAAAGGACAAATATTGAACCCGGAATTTTTAAAAATATATAAATTGAAGAACCCGATACAATTATAATGTTTATTGTAATATAATGCATATTTTAAAGTATTTGACGTGTTTGAACGCATTTATGAATTATAAGCAACATATCCGAGAATATCTAGACAGGATTGCATGTCATAAACAAGTCAATACTTATAATCAAAGTTATCACATGGGGGAGTATACCCTTTTAACTTGCAAAATATCGAAATCAAGATTTGGCGACGGCTAAGGAAATCTAACGAGGAAAAAAAAAATAGTTGCCGTGTGGAACTCGAATTTGAAAACACTCTTTACTTCGGTTCTGACTTAGGAACAAAACGATAATTATGTCCCCATCGATCTCCGGACAGGACCTAGCCAATGTCATATATATCCTTCTTCATCGATCTCCTTCTCTTTGGAATATTCCGTACATTAATGGATTTAAGTGTTATCCATGGACAGCTTCTGGAGGCGCTTTATTAAATACAATTCAAATTGAACAATATACAATCTATATATATATATATATATATATTATTATTATTATTAAATTTGGTCGGGTTCATCGTTATCTTTGAACAACAACTTTGGTTTTTCTAGCTTTGACTTCACCTGTTCATAGCCGTCGCCGCTCTGTACATATATCCCCACATGGGTATTCTATATATGTGTAATTTATAATATAAAACTAAGGATTTGTATATAGATGTGCTAGCTAATTTATGTTGTTCCTGATTGTTTTTTTTAAGCAATGGTCATGAGTAAGAAGCAAAATTTATCACTTGTGTTAACATCATGATCCACAAAATATCTTTTTTTTATATATATATATATAAAAATCCAACGACGTCGATGATTTGTTTAGTCAGCAATTTTAACAAATACACAAAGGAGCAAACTTTAAAAAAAAATTATTTAATGCATGCGTGAAATAACAAAGAGGGATTTTATTGGTTGTATACAAAATCCACCTTGATAAGACTAAGACCAACTCTTGCAATATTTTATTTTTTTTACCAAAAATAAAAAAACTCTTGCAAGATCGACGGCAAACAAATCAACGACAAAAAACAAAAATTCGCAAGTGGACCTCACTTTCTGAGCTAGGGAGATGGGTTACAGTGTATATCCTTGTGTATGACATAATAAATATATACAGGTCCCATATATAATATATAGCTGTAAAATAAAAACTTTACAAAATGGTATATGTAAACGTGTGTCCGTATATATATATATGTATATGTATGTATGTATTTGTGTGAGTGGTCATGAATAGGTCCACAGTCATAAATTTGAGGGTCCTACGAGTCATGTGTCTACGAAACCCATTCCCCATATGAAGCCTGCTTCCCGTTATGGTTCGTATTCCAACTTATTGTTACACGACAAAAAAAAACGACAATTGTATTGTTGAATTTAAGGAAAAACAATACAGTGTATTATTCGAATTGTAAAAAAAAAAAAAAAAATTACTGGGGTTGGAGGAAGAATGTATTAATGGGCGGATCTCCGGAGCGATTTCGATGGAATATTTCCTTTTCTAACAAAATTTTCATTTTCCCCGGCCCATTATAAGATGTAATTTCTATTTTTTACTGCTATTTCGGTATCGTGATTAAGCATCTAACGATTTTTGCGGTCGGCTTTGTTAGAGAATAAAGATACGTTGATCGATCAAGCATGGTCGTGGGCCTTGGGCCCATTATCATCAAATGGTTTTGTGGCCCAAACATCTTCAACGGCAACATGCATCAGATCTTCTCGACATCCATTACTCCCCACTTTGCCCTCATTGTTTCCATTTTTATATTTGTACATTTTCCTTTTCTTTGTGTGCATATTTATTTATTTTCCTTAATTTTAGTTATTACCTTTTCTTTATTTCTGTGATTTTCTATTTATTGTGTAGAATTCTCTGAACTATAAATAAGACAAATTTATCCCTTCATCTGCGTCTTCTTCGTTTCTCCGCTCACAAGAAGCTCCGGGCTATACCTAGGATCAATTTTCGTTAATCTCTCCTCGAATTCTAAGAGGCTTTAGCAAGATTCCACCGGTTTGTCGGACAAATTTCTTGAATCTCAGGTACCCATTTCGATTTCGGTTGAAATTAGGTTTATTTCTCTCCGGTTAGGGTTTGGGCGCCGTAGCTTGACATGACGATATGTGGTGAGAGTGAGATGTGTCTCACTGAAGACGAGCTGTCTTACCAGGAAAAGAATCTTTGGAATTCTTTTTGCTGCGATGACGACGATACAGGCGATGCAGAGTATGAAGATGATATTTCCCGGTCGGTGAGAGAACTCGGGAGAAGGATATCGGAAGGAATTCGCCTGCACGACGATGGCGGGGAGCTTCAGTCTTTATGGGTCGCTCTTGCAAAGCTGTATGAGAACCAGAGAGACCTGGCCAATGCAAGAAGGATCTTCGAGAAGGCGGTCCGAGTGAAGTACAGAAACGTGGATCATCTGACCAGCGTATGGTGCGAGTGGGCCGAGATGGAGCTGAGGCACGAGAATCCCCAAGAGGCGTTGGATCTAATGAGGCGGTGCACTTCCGCACAAGCCGCTGCCGATGGGAGCGGACCGGCCCAGATGAATCTGCACAAATCCCCGAGGCTCTGGGCGTTTTACGCCGACCTGGAGGAGAGTCTTGGATCGCCGGATTCGACAAGAGCGATGTATGAGAGGATGTTGGATTTAGGAACAGCCACGCCTCAGACCATTCTGAAATACGCTTCCCTCCTCGAGCAAAACGGCAGCTCCGAAGACGCGTTCAAGATGTACGAAAGAGGTGTCGAGATCTTCGAGTATCCTCTCGTGAATGACATATGGGCGGCATACATCGCCAAATTTGTCGAGAGATATGGAGAAACCGAACTGGAACATGCCCGCGCCAGTTGCAGTCAGGTAAAGCTCTAGTCCATGGTTTTTTCAGTGAAGTTAAATTCTTTGCATTGGGGGCTTATATCCCGAGGTTTTTACAGATTCCACCGGAGGATAAGACGCAAGGGGACAAGAGGGTCGACGTGGAAGGCATGGAGATGTCCGAAGGAAAAGATGATCAGAAGAAAGTTCGGTCAGGCCTTGCTCGCAAGAGAGGAGGAGGAGACGGTGGCAAAACAGTGTACGGCCGAATCATAAAGAGACTGAGGCTAAGCTATGCCTCTGAATTGATTGGATCTATTGCGGTTTTCGCTTAAGCTTAGCTTTGTCGCGGAAACTATGATTAATGTAATTAATGATGATTAATGAGTATGAGATTTTTATTAGGCCACGAACAATTGCGACTCACTGGGTTTCCGTAAACGGGTAATGGCCTGGCCCAATGTCTAGCTGCTATTAAATTAAAGCCCAAACAAAATGGGCCTAAATATTAGTTTGTGAAATTTATCATTTGGTGTTTGATTAGTCACATTTGACCAAAGACTAACTAAAATAAGCGTGAAGGACAAAAAGCAACGTGGGCCCATTGTCGTGGCAAAAGCAAAAAGTTACCCGATCCGCTGTCTGTTTATTTTTTTCTCCCGTTAATGAATTATTTATATGTATTATATCATTATTATTATGACAATTTATTTAAATTTACTATATTTTCACTTTTCCTAATCCACCGTCAGCGGCTGATTTGTTTTTTTTCTTCTGTAATTTATTTTTACACTTATAAATACCCATAAATGATTATCGATATTAAAATTTGTACGCAGTTTTTGCTAGTGATATGGATGGATTCCTATCTGATTTCGAAAATAAAATTAGTTTTCGTTGGGTTAAAATAATTAGCATATATTTTAGAGACGACAATAAAGAAATCATACGGAGTAATAGTAATGATGAGAACCCGTCAGAGAAGTCATGATGGACGGACAGAGGTCGTCCACCGAAGATCCAACGGTCATATTTTTGTCACCCATGCGTCTTTGTAATCGAACCCATTTTCACCCCCCCTTATAATTATGCCCCTCCCCCCCAATCGATATTTTTATCCCGACTGTTATTTATTTTATTTACCTCACAAATAAAATAAATAATCAAATCCTATAAACTAATGTCACTGTCGGTTAACCACGGTTCAGTACGCCTTGTATTGGTCGGGCAATCATCTTGAGGGCAATTATGGAATTAGATAAAAACGGGTTTAGAGTAATTATCAAGTTAATATTGGTTTAAGTGATAAATACGAAAATAATAAAATAATAAAGTGGAGGAGGTTGGATGTCGTAGTCACTTCCCGACAAACCGATTTGGAATGCCGCTTTCCTGTCCCCTCTCCTTTCCACATTCCCATCTTCTCTTTCCTTTTCATTTCCACTTTTACCCTTCCTTTCTTAATTTACATTGTCCTGTACGAAAGTTTTAATGCTTTTGTTTAGTGATTTATATAGCAACGAATAATTTATAATATTAAATCTAAAATTGAAATGAAAGAAGGAAAAAAATTGAAGTAGTGGATGTTACATTGTGGTTGAACTTGACAATTTACACGATTCGAAAAGGTTAATTTAATGGGAGTTGTGTATTAGTCGTAAAAAGGTGAGGGTAAAAACGAAGATTTACTATCCACAGACAACCCTCCCCTTTTCGGGAACTAAGACCCGATTCCCGACACTAAGATCAACGGCACATATTTGTTTCTACTGATTGAACGGTTCAGATTGATCGATACCTTCCCCAAGGAAAAAAGAGAGCCATACAAAAAGGCTCAACTTTCTCCGCTTAATTTCAGTTCTGCCATTTTCTCCATTTTTTTTTGGTTTTTATTATCCTCCGTGACGAATTGCTGTGTGCAATTAGCTTTTGTTTTTGCTTTCTGCTTTAATGGAAGGGCCTTGATTAGGGGTGGCCATTTCGGTTATTAACCGAATAACCGAACGGTTGAGGAAGTTGAATAACCGTTCGGGTTCGGTTCGGTTCGGTTAATAACCGAATAACCGCGGTTAACCGAACGGTTATTGAGTTTTTTTAATATTTTAATTTTTATCCTCATTATTATTAGTATTATTTTTTTATACTTCACTTTTAACCTTATATATTTCACTCAATAAACCATAAAATGTAATGTTTTTAATTTTTATCCTAATTATTGAAGTTTTTAGATTTTTTTATAATTTTATTTTACATGATTAATCATTTTGTGCATTTATTTAAATAGATATTTTGAAATTTATGTAGGATTAATAATGTTTTTTAAAAAAATATATCATAACCGAACCGAACCGATCTAAAACCGAACCGAATAAACCGAAAAATATAACCGTTTGGTTATAATTTTATTATGCAAAAACCGAACCGAACCGAA